GGCACATGCGGTACAGCAAATCAGTGGATGTATACCTGGCTGAATTGAAGAAACTTGCATTCTTGTTGGGCAGGATAAGTGACCGTATGATGGCTTGTGTATCAGGAAAATTAAAAGAACTAGGTACCTCTGAGGGTTGACATAGAAAGTGACTGCATAGCCACTAAGTGCAAAAATCAGACCTCAAAGAATATTGAGGTGTTCACCTACATAAAAAAGAAAATCAACCCACTTGAATTTAGGATATACACACAAAAAGACAACTGGATGACAGGACATTATACAAACCCCTAACCCATGAGGTGGAAGGCAGAATTCTCATATTCTACCAAGAAGATCGAATATTTGAAGCAAGTCCCTGAAAACAACATACTCTCAGGGCTGGATTATCCTTTAGGCTAGTATAGGCTGCAGACTAGGGCCCTCAAGCTTTTATAAAGCAATGATTTTAATTTTCTAGATGTTATAATTTCTAAATAGTTTCATAAACCGAAATGATATCAGTATGACAAACTACTTTGAAGGAAGCAAAGCAGGGAAAAGAATGTTTTAGTTTGCATCATTGCATTTTTTTATTGCTTTAAACATTATAAAAAAGTCCATTGTTTTAGGAAATTACTTTGTTTGCATTTGGATATGAAACTGAGCAGATATCAAAGTTTCAAGGAATTTATGATAAGCAGGATTTTCACTTAAAGGTACTGTTCAAACTTTGCTTGATTGGCAAGGCTGCTCCATGGCCAAGTCAATTAAGGCACATCAAATCCTGCCGGAGAACTCATATTTTTCTTTAATAAGATTTCTTGAATGTTCAGGTCAGTAGATGAAAATAAATCAATATACTGTTTAATAAATAAATAGCACATCTACTCAGAGTATCTACTAAAAGTAATGTTTAAAATTATAAAAAAATCTGTGATTGATAAATGAAAATCCATTACTTTAGAGAATTTTACAGTGATGTTAACCCTGTACAAGACTCGAGGGCCACTCAAGATAGAGGGTTACAGAATAAGAGGCACAGCTTATGCAGATATGTGTGGAAGGTAACAGTTAACCTTAGACTTGAACAGGCTAGGATTTTAGTGATTGGGGAAGCAACCTAGTGGGAGTCAGTTTCACAAGGTAGTGGTTCATAGGAAGAAACTGCTTGAGTGGAACTTACATTACACGAGTGGAATACAAAGGGAATGAGGGTGGTTTGCTACAATTTTTGTGGCACGGCAGGTCTCAGCCATGTTGTCTAGGACTCGTGGAACTAAGTGTAGTTCATCTGACCATTCTCTATGGAAATAGCAATAGAGCAGCAACAGGTTTGAAATGTTTTGTCTGTGAGAAAGGGACTGCAGAGTGGAAAAATAGTTAGTCACCTACAAGAACACAGACTATCAAGAGTGGAAAGTAAAAACTGGTCAGCTCGCACCCATGCATGGCAGCAATACTCTATTTTTGGCCTGATCTGGTTCTTGTAAAGGTAGATGATAGCAGGAGGACTTAGATATTTTTTTTTTTTTTTTTTTAAGCATCTCCCCGCAAGCAAGGCGGGAAGCCACTAGGACGCAAGAGGTTACAGAAAATATAGAGTGAGATCAGATAGGAGTGATAGAAGAGGGTATGAGGAGAAGGGTAGTGGATAGATCAAGGCAACTGGAGATGTCGATTAACATTACACTTAAATAGCTGGAGATTATAGCTCTCAGGGAAACTGGAATAGGGAAGGGAGTTCCACTGGTGAGAGGTGCGAGACATGAAGCTATTAGAGTAGAAGAGACGGCTACATTTAGGAGTTTCGACAGTGAAGGGGTGAGAGCAGGATGCCAGCCTCGGAGGGCGCTTGAACTCATGAAGTCTGGGAACCAGCAAATGCAGTTCCTCGGAGCAATAACATGAAAGTATTTGTAGAACAGACAGAGAGAGGCGACGGCGCGTCTGTGAGAGAGCGACTGTAGACGAGATGCCAGAGCAGGGCCAATTATATTGCATATCAGCCTCTGGAGCCTATCAAGAAACTCGAGGCAAACAGAAGGGGCACCAGACCATATATGGCAGCAATACTCCATGCAAGGGCGAATTGTTGATTTGTAGATCTGGAGGATCGATTCCGGGGAGAAAAATTTCCTGGCGTGGCACAGGGAGCCAACTTTCCTTGCGGTGGACGAGGCATTTTGCTGGAGCAATACAGGGAACCAATCATTTTTCCAGAATCTTTAGTGATGGATTGTATGTATGAGTTCCACTTGAAGTCTGAGTTGAGTTTAAGTCCCAATAAGTGTTCAAGGTGCAGGGCCTCCATGAGGGAACATCCATTCATCATGACTGGTGAAAGTTCTGGGTTCAATTGGCAATGATAGAATGTCACTAGTTTGGTTTTTGAGGCATTAAATGTGACCAGCCAGTCCCCCTCCCACCCAGCTGCCAAGCTCTGATCATTGAGGGCTTTATATTCTAACAATGTGATATTTTACCTGAAAAAATGATTTTGCTTGACTGAATACACTATTTCCACATTGAACTTTCTTCAACCATTATACTCCTGGTGTTAGTTTTAACTGACACCTTCCTTTCCACATATATGGTGTCTATTTTGCTTAATGTTTGTATTTTCTTCATTTCTAATGAAATCATTAGAAATGTCCAACATATTTCAGTGAAATTTTCACTTTCAAAAATTTATAATTAAAAAATTAACGGTTTTATTTTTAATCTGACATATTTATTACTTCAAATGTTAGTGGATACCAGTATTTGAAATTATTATTTTTTTTAAATTTTAAACATCGTCTAGCTATTTCGCCTATCGTCCTGTTCATATTCCTCGTCAATCTTTTGAACAGGAGTAGAGGTTTATCCCTTGTTTCCGGGTGATTTAAACAACATTATTAAATAAATTTAAATGTCATAACAATAACATATATGTATAATTTTTATGCAATTCACTATTACTACATTTTACAATTTTTTATAGACGACTACTTGAAAGCTAAAGAAAAGAGGCTATGTATCACATGACTTCTGCTGATGGTAAATAAATATACACGCTGATTTGCTATCGTTATGTATTTTTGTAAATACGAGGAAGAAACGTAAAAAAAATATTTTAAAATAGACTTCACATGTTTTAACTTGGGCTATTAATTTAACTCCAAATTTCCACGCAAACTATGAAGTTAAGTGGAACACTACCATCTTTATGATGTGTATAAAAATTGATTGTTGCCTCATCATTTTATTTTTGCATCATGAACTGCTTTTTAAAAAAAGAAACCCAAGGAGTTTATGAATGGTCTTTCTACTAACGAACTAGATACTTTCTAAATCACTTGGCTTGGGTAGAAAGAAACAAAGGCTGGTTGTTGTGGGGCGGGTGCTACTGCGAATAAACGATCTCATCCCACTTTCACAGTAACAACAAATAATGCAATTGTCACCTAACAAGTGTATATGGTAAAGAAAGAAAACTGTTACAAGTACAAGACTGACCGAAGATGAAACGGCCCAAAAAGCAAACGCATTAGTGGGGAGTTGACAAACAACACTGGTTCTTTCAGTTTTTTTTTGTTTTTGTTTTTAAAGAAAAACAAGGGAAATTTGCAGATAATTTAAAAAAATGTATTATTCCTGGTGTAAAAAAAAGCCTGATTATTCCAAAAACAGCAATAAAAATTGAGGAAACTCTATCGTTTAGGAGGAGATATTGCCAATCTTAGTTCGGTCCCAGGTAGGTACAGTACAGCTTGTCCTCCACTGTTTAGTTTACCTGAAGCAATATGTTGCTCGATTTATATTCCTGAGGTCAATCCCTCACCATACCGAGCACCTCCACAAATTCCTGAGGCGGCCAGGCTGTACCCGGAACCTAACTAAAATTGGCAATATCTCCTAAACGGTAAAGTTTCCTCAATTTTTATTGCTATTTTTGGAATAATCAGGCTTTTTTTTATACGAAGAATAATGCATTATTTTAATAAATTGGTCACTGGGGCATTATCTGCAAACGTACAAAAAAAAAAAAGTTAATTTTTTTATCATGATAAAATCAGAAAAATTAATATCTACTGTTGCCCCCCCACTCCATGTGGTCCGTAGTGAGTTCGATCCTCAGTGGGTGCCGAGCGGCTTTGTGTCAGCTAAAGCTCCTGTTTTGTTTTTAGTAACTAGTTATTTATTTTTTAACTACCATTTGTATTACCTTTAGTTTTTAGTGTTATTAAGATGGGAATTTTCTTTCTCGGATCCCCCTCGCTATGGGAGTAACAAGAAGGACAATACTTTTTAAAACTAAAATATAGCCTTGTTCTGGAATATTTATAAAGTCTACAAAATTCAACTCAAAGAGTCAAGACTCAGTCAAGACCTACTTTCATATTTTCACGAGCTTATTAAATATAAAAGTTTTGCTAGTTTAAAAACAACTGTAGAAGTAATAATGGGGAAAAAAACTCCTTTAATAATGTTTACATTGATAGTCAAGACGAAAATGTTCTTAATTAACTTAAAGCCTGCCAAAACATTTTTAAAATGACCAAAACTTCTTACGAAAGAAAAGTGACAAATAATTCCGGTTTATGTGTCAAAGAATGCATTAAGCAAAGCAAAAAAAAAAAAAAAAATAATTGAATTTGTTTTTAAAAATGATAAATAATTATTACTTAGCAAAAGAATGTTTAACCCGATTCTAAATGCTAGCAATTGATGTTATTTTTATTACATAATGTACGTCAAGGGTTTATTTGCTGTGGTAATAAACAATAACATGACCATAACTCCGATACAGAATATATTACATACGTCACCAAAGGGGGATCAGATTACTGTTTATTTGTATTAGGAACTGAACCCCGACTTTTTGACCACAAGCCTAAATCAACAAAATCTATGATAAACAAATATGGGTTAAAAAGTGAGATGTTAACATCGTCAATCTCAGTAAAAATAAACAAGAAAAGCAGGCGAATAGATATGATTTAAAAGGGAATAAATAATATTAGTGTTATCCTTACGTTTGAAGCTTAGTTGTAAAAATTCACCCTAAATAAGTTGTTTTTAAACGACTGGAGCTCCTGTGGATGACATTAGCAATGGCGACGTGGACACAACGCATGCCATTTAGAAAGATAAAAACTTCCGGTTTTCGGTTGTGGGGTTGTTATTATTTTTTTTAAGCAGACACCCGGCCCCTTCTTGATTTCGTATTAAAAAAAGAAAAAAAGACACTAAAAATTTCTTCCAAAAATTTATTATTATTTATCGTTTATTTATTTTTTTAGATTAAAAAATTTTTTTTTTAAATATGCCTCAAAATCTGAAAAAAAATAATTAAACCAATTAATTTTAAATAGTTTAAAACAGGACACAAACAGCTGTTTTATTTATCTATTATTCTTAATAGAGCACAATAAGAAGATTGTATTGCGTCAGTATTCCAAATTTGGACGCCTGCCTGCAAAATTAATATTTCAAATCCTAATTTTTATTTGGATTTCAACTCCAGCCACTATTACTGATAGGAAAAAATTCTATTTCAACCAAAATGCAGACCAAAATTATTGGCTTTTTTTAAGCTTAGTACATGGCTAAATGTGAGGTACCCAATGAGGCTAAAAATTAATTCTAGTTGCAAATTGCTCTAAAAGAATTGCTTGTTAAACATCTATAGTAGTCACCTCTAACAATTGTTGATTTGTTGCTTTTCTTAAAATGAAAATAAAAATATAATTAAAAAGACACACACACACACACACACACACACACACATATATATATATATATAAACAAAAAATAGTCTGCAACTTACAGTGAAATTTGATATTTTCATTTTTTATAAGATTTTAGTCAGTTGTCAGATTTTGAAGGCCTTTTAAAAATCCAGATTAAAATATTTTTTAATACTATTCTTCACCCAATACAAAGCCGAAGAGCCACTCAAGGTAGAAGGTTGCTAAACGATGTAGTTGCAAGAGGCTACAAAGAAAGACTAAGAGGGGCATATTATGAGGATATGTAGGATAGATAATGATTGAACTATGTTAGTTGTGGGTGGTTATCTTATGGCAACATTCGTTCACATGATTTATCTATTATGGTTTTGCATATTGGTCTTGTGTAAGGTTTAAAAGAAAAGACCCAAAGTATTAATATATACTAAATAAAATTTTATATAACACAATATATTTATACAGCAGGATAAAGTGAAGGTTGGAGATCCAAGAATTCAAATAGATGGAAATATCCTGGTGCATAAAAAAGAGCGTGGGATATATATATATATATATATATGCACACACACACACACACACACACACACACACACACACACACACACACACACACACACACACACACATATATATATATTCAAATGCAGTAGCCATCTGCTTAACAATGTGGGTGAAGAAAGGTAAATATGTTTCCAAATGTAACAGTTGCCTGCTTAAAAATATGGTGAAACAAAGGATATATGTTTCTAAGCTCATCTTGAGGACACGTGGCCGAGTGGATAAAAGTGTTGGTTGGATCTAGTGACTTGACCCAAAGAGTTGTGAGTTCAATACCTAGCTACTGCAGTGGTGAACAAAAACTTGGAGTTGAGGTAAAGTGAGATAACTGAGACATCAGGAAGAGGCATGTTCTGAGGAACTAGAACAATCTACTCCCAGTGGATGAAATAAAGGGCTCAGTTTGAAATTCCAATCATCTGAAGAAAGCCGGAGCGTACAACAGCCAAGACGCCATGAACAGTCCGGATAATGTAAACATTTCTTATTGCTATTAACATTATTTTAATTGGTACACATGTTTGAATAGACATATCTGTTTATTTACAATCAATTAAATTAATGTCTACTGGCCTAGATCAATGAGGATCTACTAAATTTTCTTTAATAAGAGTTTTGATGATCTAGGTAGGTAGACATTAATTTCCCTGTTTGTAAATAAATAATGATATCTACTCAAACATGTGTGCCTACTAAAATAATTCTATAGCAAGATATATTTGTATATGTAGAACTTTATTACATTGCCAAAAGGGTCCACTTCATATAGATGAGTAAATTGCTCATCTCTGTAGTGGACTCTTCTGATGATGCTATAAAAACAGAATTTTATGTTAAACTTGATGAATATGCAATTTGCTCATCTCTAAATATTGAATTCTGATGACATAGTAAAAAGAGAATTTTGGGTTATTGAAATACAACATTGTGGGGGAGGGGGAAGGAAATGGATTAATTCCAACTTTATTCTTGTAGCTGTGAGGTATTACTTTGTAATGAAGTTGCTATCATGCAAAAGAAATGAATTCAACACATAGAGAATGTTTCATATATATCAAACCATTAATTATCAGTGTGTATTTATTTATATATTTTCTGTCCCAGTGTGTATTTATTTATATATTTCCTGTCCCTATTTTTACGTTTCCTGGAGTGGAAAGGGAGGTAAATCATCTTGTTAGTAAATTTATGAGTAATCACTTCCCTTAGTCATTTTGATAATCTATACAAATAAAATATTTATCTGCATTTAGACAAAATTAGTTCCTGAGTAAAATGAATCGTTTAAGTAATTGGTTCCTTTACTCTATAGTGACATGGGGCTTATGGGTTAAAATGAAAAGTTGATTTGCCCATGCCAAGAAGGTTAATAAAGGATGATAATGACAAGGAAACATACAGGTAATTTTAATAAAACAAGATAAGGAATTCATTCATAAATTTACACACTTGAAGTAATATCAGTAGCTAATTTTGGCAAAATAAAATAGAATAGTCCATAATTTTAATGTATTGTCATGAAGAGGAAATGTTCATACAACAAATTAAATGATCTGGCACAAAATAATATTGGAAAATGTTTAAGACAAAGGTAAGAGTGTTTGTTGCTCACTGAAGGGATATATGGTTTGTATACATTCAAAAGTAGATGGAGAGCGGTAGATTGATATACTTAGCTTTCTTGGATTGTTAAGAGTAAATTCTTTGAAGTGCCATGTGCTGGTTAGAGGCTGATAATATAATTGGTGAGTAATTTTACACTGGCAAGTGCTTCAACACTGGTTGCAAGGAACTGAAATGAAACCTTTAACATGACTTCAGACACCCTTTTCCTCAACATAATTTTTCTCCTCATTTTATATCAAAAAGAATTTTGCGAAGGCTCACTACTTACTTTCCTTCTTCTTGGCTCACCAGCTTATTTCTGTGATGACAAGGTTTCATCGGTCAAAAAATATCACATAGGCTCTTGAATTTCTTTCCTCAGCCCTCCAAATTTGAAGGGAGTGGGTGAAGGGAGTTATTAATATTTCACACTTACTACAACTCATATGTTTCTTAGATTGCAGTCTTATTTGTTCAAGACTTTCATGTGTGGAACTCAGATACCTTTGTCTATTAAGTGATAATCTCGTTTCAACTTGGTCTTGCAATAGGCTTTGTCATTGCCATCTTTGTTGTTCTGTTGCTAATTTTTCCATTTCACTGTTATATTAAACACATCAAATTTTTAACATAAAAAATATTGAGCAAAAAAACAATTTATCTAATACCAAAAGTAATCAATGACTCAAAGATACCACTGAGCATCTAAAAAAATATAAAGGGAACAGATTAATTAAATGGTTCATTGGCCTTTATTTTAGTTATGAATTCTTTATCTGCACTTTATTGAATCTAAATCCATTGTTTCAAGACTTTTGTTTCATGGCATCTCACTGTTATAACTTTCTTACAATTGCCATCATTTTTGATGGCACAGGTACATTAGTTTATATATAAAGAACAAACTAGCTCCCAACAGAAGAGGAAGAGAAAATTATATTTATGTGTAGACAGATAGCTCAAAAAGGAAAAGCAAAACAATTATGTGTTTAAATGTAGTCTGTGATGCACCATGTGTTTGTGTGAAGTTGAGTAATAAGTCTGCCAGGGGAGTGTCTCCTCAGAAAGGAAGAGTTCTGTTGTTGTCACTACTACATCTCATAGCAAAAAGAGAAAGTTTAAGTTCCTTCCTCTTATGGTTCTAAATGGAACACTACTTTTATACTCCGTTGCAATTAGATCTCTTTCTGATTCATTCTGGATGTTGGCTAGATGTGAACACCATGAAGGCAGAAAACAAAATAAAAAAAAAAGTTATTTTCTGTGCATAGACTTTGAGCATCATGTCCTGTCCACAAAACAAGCCTCCACAAAGCAACACAGTGGCCAATTGCAGACGTTCTGCCAAAAAACGAGATGTCCCTGGGGACTGCCAGATCTGCTTAAAAACAAACCACCCATAATGACTAAAAGCAGTTGTCAGCCATAAGGCTACCTGCCGACAGGCAAGGCACTGTTGTCATTATTGCCATAACTGCTTCTCTCAACACAACCATTACCACTCCTGGGCTTGACTAATCTCTTCTGACTCTCCACACACAGAATGCAGCCAACAATGCAGCTTTGACACTGCCAGGCTCCTGACATCCACCAATGTGATTTATAAAATCACACATGGAATCCAACAAAGACCAGTTTCAACACTGCCAGGCTCCCGACATCAACTGTTGCAATTTATGACACCTTAACGTTGTCAGCTACAAGTCTTCCTTGTCAACATTGTCGTCACCTCAGAAACTCGACTCACCACAACCACAGGCATACCCTTGCAGTCATCACCACGAACCCCGTTTCATTGATCCTCAACAGTGAAATATTCCACCACTGGCCTACCAGCTCCTCCTAATCCCTCATCGCCACAACTCTCACCTCAGCAGCCTACTATGAATTGACCCACCACTGTGACCTAGATTGATCAACATGTACGTCAGGACCATTTAATGACTTGTGACCTTGGTCAAAACAACCCAAGAAATTGGTCAACCCCTGGTACTACCCTTACACCAAATAGCCTTCATGATTATATTTATTTAATATTTATATTGTATCTTCTGGTGTGAATGCCAAGCAATACCACATGTCTTTTCTACATTCCTGGTGGAGTGAATTGTGTCAATGTTCTCTTTTTATCACAGACAGTGCCCAACTGACCCTACAATACTGTGTAGTCAATGAAAACAAGACAAATAACATGCATGTGAGAAAGTAAAAATATAAAATGGTGACAATTTAGCCTTTTGCAATCTGTATTTCTGTTTCTCATTGATAAAAAAAGTATGTTGAATTTTTACCAATTTTTATGCCATAGTGTAACTTTTTGCACCACAAAATTAAAGAAAATAATTTGAGAATTTTGACAAGGCAGTATGCTCTAACTGAAAAATACATAATTTTACTTGATTTAAAGAAATAATTAATCCGTATCATTTCTTCTTACAAATGTTACAAATACTCTCTTACAAATACTCTCTTACAGAAGCAAATTTTAATGTATTTTGTTTAATTTCCAAGGATGACTTCTTTCAAAGAGTTTTTCACCAATTCTGTTTTTACACTGTGAAATTTATTTAAAAATGTCTTATCACATAAAAATAATTGATTATTTTTCTTGCTGATATTGTTATTCATAACAAATATATTGATGATAAAATTTAACTTTTTATGAGTAATTTGTGTTTTTATTTCTAAAAGCTGTTTTAAAAAGTATGTTGAATTTTAGTTTAATTTACCAATTAAAAACATAAAATAGAAGCAAATATAAGATTTTTAGAATACAAAATTAATGACAAAGTAACTTATTACAAAATGTTATTTAACTTTTCTCCTTCAAATTTCTCAAATTCAAATATTTTGAAATAGTTGTCCTTAGTTGCACTATAAGTAGGTCTTTAATATAGAACACCATTTGCATATTTAAAATGTATACTCATTCTAGAATATAGACATTTTGAATTACTTTATTGTTTCTAATTATTAAAGCAATTCAAAGTATTGTATTGGCATTTGTTTTATTTTTTAAATATGGCATAAAACCAGATGGTGGATGTGCAGATGGTGTAATGGTTATCGGCTCAGAATAAGAAATCAGTGAGCCAAGTTTGAATTCTGGTTGAGATTGTTATATTCACTTTAGCACAAATAACCTTAGGAAAGACACAAATCACTTTTTTCCCTCTATCTATGGTTGAAATAGCAAGGCAGACTTGCTCTTTAGTTGTGGTTGACAGCCATTAGAGAAGAATCACGATTCTAAATTCAAAACCATATGTGGCGCCACTAAGTTCCATTCAGCATAGTTGTAGTATAAACCATAGGTTGGCTTTGTGAACATTGAAGAAATTCAAATGAGCCTGAACAAGGGTAATGGTAATATTAGCCGTTTCCTGATAAGGAAACATTCAGCATTCATTAACTGAGCAGACAGGATCAAAGTGTGTATCTGTTCTAATCTCAAATGGTAATATTAGCCGTTTACTTATAAGGAAACATTAGGCATTCATTGACTGAACAGACAGTGCTATTCAACAATTTTCTTTATTCCTTGGCCATCTGGCAAAGACCAAAGTGTGTATCTGTTCTAATCTCAAATAATATTAACCGTTTCCTTATAAGGAAACATTTAGTATTCATTGAGTGAGCAGCCAGTGCTACTCAAATAACACTTTTCTTTATTCCTTGGCCATCTGGCAAGGATCAAAGTGTAGTATCTGTTCTAGTCTTAAATGATAATATTAGCCATTTCCTTATAATGAAACATTTAGCATTCACTGACTGAGTATTCAGTGCTGCTTTTGGTTGAAATTTACGAAGTTTTCCTCTGAAAACAGTTTTCCAGGAAAATAGGTTTCCTGAGTCTACTCGTGCTTATCACTCTTTCCAGTATTGATGGGAGCTTCCTTCCTTGCATTTTGTTTGAGGTAGTGTGGAATGTCAGCATCTTGATTATGTCATTATTTTCTCTTTGAGTTACAATGGCTACTCATTTTAATTATTGCTACTGTTGAAAGTCCTCAAGTGATGTGTTTTCTCATACAGTTCTTTATGATTCTTTTTTTTTTAAGCTTTTCACTGCAAGCAAGGTGGGAGTGCCACTAGCACACAAGGGGTTACAGAGAGTGGGAGAAAGAGTAAAGAGGCATGACAGAAGAAAGGATGAAGAGAAGGACGGGGAATAGATCAAGGCATCTGGAGATGTCAATTAATATTGCATTTGAACAGTTGAAGATTATAGCTATCAAGAAAGCAAGTAAGAGGAAGGGAGTTCCACAGATGGGAAGTGCGAGACATGAAGCTATTGGAGTAGAAGAGGCAGCTACATTTAACTGTTTCAACAGTGAAAGGGTGGGATTGAGATGCCAAGCTAGTAGCACGTTTAAATTCATGCAGTTTGGGAACTAGCAAAAGTAGCTTCATGGAGCAATTACTGTGAAAGTATTTGTAGAAAAGACAGAGGGAAGTGACAGCACATCTGTAAGAGAGCAACTGTAAATGAGATACCAGATCAGGGTCAATCACATTGCATATCTGTCTCTGGATTTTGTTGAAGACCCTAAGACAAACTGCAGGGGCTCCAGTCCAAATATGGTAACAGTATTCCATGCAAGGGCGAATGGTTGATTTATAGATTTGAAGGATGGACTCAGGCGAGAAAAACTTTCTGGTGCGACACAGAGAACCAACTTTCCTTGCAGTAGATGAAGCTATTGATTCAATGTATTTGTTCCATCTCAGGTCAGCAGACAGTATGAGACCAAACAGTTGAAGAGAGGTGCTCTCATGGAGTTGAGCATCAGATATTTTAATGGGAGGCCGGGAGGGTTCTCTGTGGTGGGTAAAAGAGAGCAGTTTTGTTTTCGAGGCATTAAAGTTAACCAATCAACAACAGATTGGAGGTCCTTTTCGAGATTAACAGCCAAGTTAGTTTTGTCAGCAATACTGGATTTGCTACTGAGGCAGGAGTAAATAGTAGTGTCATCCGCATAATTGCCTACTTGGGAACTGATGACATCAGGAAGATCATTAATGAAGATCAGGAACAGGGTAGGGCCCAGGATAGAGTGAGAAAAGAACTGGAGGAGAATCCATTAAGGATGACCTTCATTACACGGTTTGACAGGAATGATTGTATTAAGTCAAATAATTGTCCTGAAATTCTGTATCCCTGAAGCTTACAAAAAAGGCCGGCATGCCAAACCCTGTCAGATATCTAGAGCCATGGCACAAGCTTCTCCATTATTGCGAAGTGCTTGGTAAACAAATTTAGTTATGGCTGTGAGCACATCAATGGTAGAGTGGACAAAGTGGAAACCATATTGCTTGTCAGAAAGCAGATCATGGGATGTAAGGTGCTTAACCACTTTGGTGCTGATTAAAGCTTCAAAGACTTTGCTGAAGAGTGGTAGGAGACTGATTAGATGTTAGTTAGATGGGTTAGAAGGGTCTCTAGAGTTCTTAAAGACAGGTACAACAGATGAGCACTTCCAACAGGCTGGAAAGCAAGAGTCGTTGAGGCAGTAGTTATATAATATGGAGAGGACAGGAGCCAGTTCAGGAGCACATTTCTTCAGGACAATGGCTGGTATCCCGTCCCCACTGCTGGCCTTATGGGAGTTTAATTTAGAGACGATGTCCAATACCATCTATGGGGTTATGTGCAACTCGCTCAATAGAGCTTCAGTTCTAGTGGCGAAATTGGGTGTGGGTAGCCCGGATGAATTAAGCATTGAATTGGATGAGAATTTCTGTGCAAAGCACTTGGCCTTATTAGCTGAGCAAGTCAGGACCTCAAATTGGTTGAATAAAGGAGTTATTGTGGGTTTGCTGTTGTTTAGTATGCTCTTGCAGAGACGTCAATAATGTTTGGAACCGAATTTGCGAGATGTAATACATTGTTTCATTCTTTCATCAATATATGACTTTGCTTCATTGAGGACACACTTGCACTCATTACAGGCTGAGATGTTATTTGCAGTCTGATATCTCGCTACAGTACAGGCGGAAAAAGTGATTCCTGTGGGCAATGGTAGCTGAGCAAGCAACAGAGAACCAAGGAGATGAGTGTTATTTAATCTTATATTTCCTTTTAGGGATGAAAGCCTTGATTCCAGTTTTTACCCAGGAGGAGATCTTGGAAGTGCATTTTTGAATGGGGAAATTAAAGATCACATTCCTGGGGAATTACGAAGGAAATCATGGAATGAGTCCCAGTCTGCTCGTTGATAACAGAAAGATGTTCTGTTGGTAGGAGGTTCTTTCTTGGTGGTGGAGTAGAAGGAGATGTTGACAGACACTACAGCATGATCAGAGTTGCCAAGAGGGCAGAGCTGTGTGACATGAACAGTCCACAAGTTTCAATGAAAGATGGTCCCTGCTGAGACCTACACACTTCATTTGCTAGAGGTCATTTTTAACCATCAATCTTTCTCTTTTTGCTCTGTGAAGTTGTAGTAACAAGATGCACAATTTCAGGCTCATAACAATTAAGCAGCTAAGTAGAAAATTCATATTGTTTTTGTACCCAGTAGATATATGCAATCCTTGTAATGTTATGGGGCCGATAAGGATGTTGCCCCCCCACAAGCTTGTTTATTTTTCAAGAAAAAATCCAAGACAATGAGGGGACAAAAGCAGAGGTTTATATTTTAACCAAATGTCAGAGTCCGTAAACAGGGCTGAGTCAGTGAGATGATATGTCTTCCAGGGCGGATCAACTGCAGAAATGGGATCACGTTGAAGAGTATCTCTTGATGAAGCACCAAGAAG